TTACTGCTGCCGCTCAGCTGACCAGTCACCAAGCTCAGTCGAATATCGACAAAATGTCACTACCATTACTGGCGAATGACATAGATCTCCCCCAGATTGCGCCAAATCTAGTAATCTCGTCGGATTTATAGCGGTACGGCCGGCAGCCGGGCGCAATGTTTCATTTCTGTCGACGTACGTCTCCGTTTCCGGTGTGTTGTATGAACTGAGCTGATTGGGTTGTGCAGTTGTGTACGTCATATTTTGTGCTTACGTTTTATTTTTGTATGCATGTGGAATTGTGGAGTGTCTTTGTAAGCATGTTATTTAAAAGAATGACACATGCAATATTATTTTTTTCGATATTTGGATATGACTGCATACTTTGCAAGCTTCCTGATTAGATTAAACTTCTTGACTTTTTGTTGCAAGCTTATATGTTTTGGATTATTACCCAAAATAATGCAGCATGTAGTGCCGGAAAACTGCCTATAAAACCCGCTCCGAAACCTACGTGAAAACTCTGAAAGTTATTGAATCATTTAGATTATGTATTTGAATGTTATTGGTTAACCAACGTATGACTTGAGCCCCTTCCGTTTTGGCAATATCTTCTCAATCGTTTAACGCATCGACACGAAAATTGCTGTACCTTCAGCGGCATTAATTTGACACCTTGTGGCCAAATTGTAACTTTCTAGCTACCATAGGTCGACCGAAAATGGCGTGAGAGTGACTTCATGTCGGCCGATTCTTATGTAAAACATTGAACTACGGCAATCGCTCTCAAGAGCTCAGTTTTTAAGCTAGATCTAAGCTCTTTGCATGAGTGGACTCAGAATAAACGTGGCTAGCAAACTATCTTGGACTTTCCTAATTTTGAACATTTCAAAAAGTTTACATACACAATTTCAAAAAAAAAGATATATATATATATATTTTTGATTTTTCAAAGAAAAAATACTTTTCGGAAAAATCAGAATGTAACAGAACACCCATCGATGACCTACTCTAGAAAATTTTAGCCCAATATCTTCAATAATGGCCATAAGGTTTCGCCCTTCTGACTCGGAACATAATATCTAAGGCACCGCCGAATGTTGTGTTTGCAGGTAGGAGTGAATCATAAATAAAGGCCCACAAACACAAACCTTTCGTGACCGCGGTACAAGCTATAAAGCGTCTTGATGTGACAGAAAGGAATGAAAGCAGTATGTACAACATGACAGTCGACATATTGATCCAATACTCCTATCTAACACTCATTTTGACAAAACATCGAGGCGTTTGTCTTGCCTAAAACCTTAAATTGATAACAGTGCATTATATTTCATAACAAGGACCTTTGCGTAAGCTCTGTTATGCATAGTACTGGTCGTTACCATTTTGGCGTTGACACGATTACGGTAAAAATAAGATAAGTCAATCCTCATTTGCCACATTATGTACAGCCCTCTGCAAACTGCGTGGTAGGTATTTTTTTCGACAAAACCGAGAATAACGCGAATACTATGCTATCGGTTACTCAAAAATCGTAACATAAAAACACACGAGACTCCGTACCTTTGATTGGCATTTGGCATTATCATCGTGTTCATTTTCCATCAAGTTTGGCAACAAAACCCAAAAGTTTATATTTGCCCCCAAAACAACTTTTGTATTTTGGTGCCACACAAGCGGTATACTTTGTTTAGTGATAGAACTATTCGAAGGAGTGGAGCTGGCGCATCTATTTGCAGTGAGTTCCGACCGACTGATAACATAGTGTTTGAGCTATTACACTATGCAACAGTCATTTTGTTCCTGAGTAACGACCGATTTTTTTGGACTCATTGGGTCCCATTATAACCGAAATGGGCATTTGTTTTGATCTGAAAATGCTTTTCCGGTTTTCAGAGACGATTTTCGATTTTTGGCCCCGAAATTCGGTTTTTGTCCCACTGTGTCCGGTGTAATTGAGTAATCGACTCGCGGTAACTTTCATCGCGCTTCCTATGCCACAAGCTTTCGAATGATATCCGGTTTTGCATATTTGCGTGTAAAAATAACGTCATAAATCTATGTTAAAGGGACCCTCCCACCAGTGGCGCGGGAACCGGGGGGGCTAGGGGAGGCTGAGCCCCTCCAACTTTTCGGCTGGGGGGGGGCTCGTAATGTATTTGAGCCCCCCCAGCTGGAGGAATCGAAATCGGAAATCTACCAACACAATTTCATAGATTCATACATAGGCGCGGGAACCGGGGGAGAGTGCAGTGGGGGAAGCTTGCCCTCACAACTCTGGGGCCGTGGGGGCGGTGCCTCACAATTTTTCATGAGGCCAGGAACCGTTGGGGCAGCTTGTCCTCCCCAAATTAGGGGTTGTGAGTCACAAAGGAAGAAAGCATGTGAGTGAAAAATCTACCTATTTTACTGACTCGGCAACTCATTTGGCAGCTTAAAACCTTTATTCCAGGTAGCCAAAACGGTACTTTCTTCACTCAGCTGAGACGGAATACGTCACTTTGTTTGCAAATATTTCTTCTTCTTTTTTCGTTGAAAAGGCCAAGGTCTGAAAAATAAGTGGCCTAAAACCGATGAGAAAACTAGATTTGGGGGTACCCTAGGTTGATCTCTATGATGGTTCAGCCCCCCCAGTCTAGAAGAAGTTCCCGCGCCACTGCCTCCCACCTTCAAAAAAGTTAATGAATTGGCATGAAAGTGATGTCGCTCGGTTCAGAAAGAGCAAAAACGAATATCTACCAAATTTCATCGAAAAATATTCACCGGTTTTCAAGATATTAGACTTTTACTTTTGTTTACTTTTTGGGATCTCCGCTGTTCCTAGCGACTTTATTTGAAAGTGCGGCATTTGTTGCGCGCAAAGCAGCATATACCACCACGTGCTACAAAACGTTTTAGTCAAACATTTAAAAATCGTTAGATATCTGTGATGACGTCACACATTCAGAGGGGTATTCCTATGCATTAGCCCCTCTGAATCAAAATGCTGCAATTTTGAAATTCAATATTTCCGATTTAAGGCATTTCTCGATGTTGTGAGTGCCGAAACCGGTAATTGTGAGCCAGGGACCCCATTTTGGCTATCTCAACTCAAATCTAATGTTAAGGTGGGAGGGTCCCTTTAAAGTAAGAAAATATTGAAATTTTGTAAAAATTTGACATTTTTTCGATTTCATTTCAAAATAGAGAAAAAACTAAAGGCCCTATCCAAATTCTGAGCCCAATTCCTTGAAGAGCATTCAATTTCCGTTCGGAAGGTACTATTTTAGTGCATTTTATCGGTTTACTGTGGCGTCCAGATTGAGTCACTTGAAAAACGGGCCCCCAACAGATCAAGATTCTGAGCGACAGGACTGCTCAAAAGTAAGTTCCTGCGTGTGACCCGAGGTCACAAGGGGTCAACAAAATGACCTCAGTTGACCCCTCGTTGATCCTATGGCGTTAACATACGTTATCAGGTTAATGCTATGTGATATGACTTAGGATATGTGTTTAGGTTAACTCAATCTGGACGCCACAGGAATCCGATAAAATGCACTAAAAAGGTACCTTCCGAACGGAAATTGAATGCTCTTCAAGGAACTGGGCTCAGAATTTGGATGGGGCCTTTAGTTTTTCCTCTATTTTGAAATGAAATCGAAAAAATGTCAAATTTTTACAAAATTTCAACATTTTCTTACTTTAACATAGATTTATGACGTTATTTTTGCACACAAATATGCAAAACCAGTTATCATTCGAAAGCTTGTGGCATAGGAAAGGCGATGAAAGTTACCGCGAGTCGATTACTCAATTACATCGGACACGGTGGGCCAAAAACCGAATTTCGGGGCCAAAAATCGAAAATCGTCTCTGAAAACCGGAAAAGCATTTTCAGATCAAAACTAATGCCCATTTCGGTTATAATAGGACCCAATGAATAAGAAAAATTCGGTCGCTTTCCAGGAACAGAAAATTTTTCATTTTTTGTTGCATAGTGTTATCGATTTTGTCGAAAAAAAAGAATACCTACCACGCAACCTGCTGAGGACTGTACAACAATAGAGTCGTAAAAATTTTCACTGATCAAGAAATTGAGATACTGCGCATTGTTCCGCATTGTGAGATCGCTGCACTGTTTATTTTGGCAATCTACTTTACCGCAAGTGAGTCACTTCCATAGATCTCCTTCGGATGAATTCGTAGTAGAAGTGTTCTAAGCCTGTAACCCTGTAACACTCTTCGTGTTTCGCTACGTCGAATGTGTTCTCTCATTTACCCAGCTCTCTGAAATTGGATGCTGCTCATCAGTGGTCGCCACAAAGTGTCATCGTTCTCCGAGTAATGTTATTGTTGTTGCACCGTCGCCGCTTAATCAACACAAACTGTCCGCACTGCGGTGCTGAGCTAGATCTAACGATTTCATTCCGTGTCTCTGTCTCTCTCTCTGTCTCTCTCTCTGTCTCTCTCTCTCTCTCTCTCTCTCTCTCTCTCTCTCTCTCTCTCTCTCTCTCTCTCTCTCTCTCTCTCTCTCTCTCTCTCTCTCTCTCTCTCTCTCTCCCTTCTCAGTCTCCACTCTGTCGGTGTTCCCCTCCCCTTCACGTGCCGCGGGCCGGACCGGTAATGAACCGAGTTCGTCAACTGGAGCTGCTAGTGGCTGCTGCTGATTTCGAGCCCGGCTGTTTATTCAGCTTTGGCTGCAAACATTGGGACATTATTCCAAAGCGAGTTCGCTGGCGCTGTGGCCCGACTCGGGAGTTGCCAGCGTCTGAGGCAGATGGGTTGAAATAATGATATATGTGTGGTGCTGCCAGCCTAGCTCAACGCTGCAGCAGCGCCACATATGAAATCGTAATCGTAATCGTAATCGTAATATATTTGAAGGCACATCCACTAGGTATAAGATGGTTTTTACGCACCCGAGTCAATTACAATGCATAAGACACATGAGATAAAAATAAAATGAATGAGATGTAAAATCACTCGCCAAGACAGTCAACCAACACTCATACATATATAAAACACCGCATACCTTCTGTTAGTGCCGTTTCGTGCTTCATGTCCCGCGGAGGAGCAATAAGATATCGCCTCGAGACTTGCCTAAGAAATTTGAATTTATTTTCACGAGTTGTTCGATTGAAAACCTAATTTTTGTACTTGATATTTATACTTAGTTCACATGGTTATTTAAATATTAATTTGTTTCTGAATCAAGAACCTCGCAGACTTATGTAAGTAACTTAAACTACGTGTACTTTCGATCCTTGCTAACTATGAATTTAAATGTGCTTATGTCAAGAGAATTTGTTGACCTAAATGCTGAATGGAGTTGCAGAGGTGCACAAATAGCCCAGCCTGTCTCCTACACGGTCTCCGATGGCTCCGGTTTGTCTCACCGATCATCCTTAGGTATATCCCAACATATCTATACTTTCAAGTAAAGCTGGTTATTTACATTACAGTTATTAATAGTTACAGGACGTAAACGCTATTCCTGAAGTGTTTTTATTTCTGAAGCTATCCGCAGATATATCGTCATTTTTTTAAGAAGCCGACAGACATACGGTATGCGCTGATTTGGGCAAAGTGCGAGGCAGGACTTGGTACACCTCCACCTGAAATGCATACTGGTGGTGTATAAATAGACTAGAGTGAGGCGGTCTGGTTGTTGACTGTGTCTGGAAACACTGGAAAGTCAAGAACTACCCTCATAAAACCACCGGGACGCTCAATTAATTCCTCTCATCCAATGAGGGTTCAGTTCCACATGGACCAGACGGGCGTCCATCTGCCGTCCCATAGCGTCCCTCTCCCGTTTAGTGGGGCAGTTACTACTTGGCGGGCTGAAGGTGAAGTGACGTAACGCTGCAGTGTACGGTGCACATCAGTGTTTCTGTTTAGGAATATGAAACTTTAAGGAGTGTGTAACAAGTTTTTTTCCTGGATCAACATTACTACATTTAGGTAAGAAAACATTATTTGAGGACGATTTTGCAATATTTGCTAATGGGACGAAGCCCATTAAATTGCTATGGAATGCCTATCATATTGAGGTCCACAAACGTTCAGAAAACGTTATGACTGTAGGCTTTAAGAAGCGGCTTTAAATCCTTTTATAATCCATCGCTGACTACATCTATACTGCAATCTATACACATTTCACGTGCATCGCTAATCTCTTCGCTAATACAGATCCTGGTCTATTTTTTCTTGCTTAGCAAACCTCAGCTGTCTTGTAAAATTTTCACGACGCATTCATACATTACAGTTTAGAGGCAGATAAATCCGATATTCCTGTTTTCTGCGTGGCTCTGTGAGGTCGGTCCCTGCCATGGATGGTGTGAGACCATCCATGCTGCCGATCGTTCGACGCGCTAGTTTTATTGGGGGTTATATGACCGAAGGACGTCGACGGCCGACGGAACTGCCTCGCCTGGCGGGGTCACCAATGTGGAACACGCTGCCGGTTTTTCCGAAGTAAAACTGGAGATTTGCTAGACAAAGTTAGACTAAGTGAATTAATGTACTTAGCCATATGAAAGCAAATGTTTGACATTTTGTCGGCCATTTTGTCGCTGCTGGAGACAACTGCCGGAAAACTAACTGCATTCCCGCAACATCCAATTACTCATCGATACGTATCAAATGAAGCAGGGCAGATTACCATATTATTTTTCTTAGGATGTCGGAATATAACAACATGTTAAGATACCAAAAAGGTGCAATATCCTTGTTTATAACACAGCCTTTGTTCCGAGTCTGTGCCTTTGGATGGATCTCATGTGCTTAAAATCTTTAGAAAAATGCACTAAGTATCCATTTGAATTATTACTTATGCCAACATGAATGGTAGAAGAATAATCAATTGTAATTTGTTGTCAAGTCTAGATGTGTTTTCTCCATTGTCAATGACTGATGTCAAGTCTAGATGTGTTTTCTCCATTGTCAATGACTGATTTCTTCTTGCTGAGTAATGTTTTGCAACCTATTAATTTCTATGCCAATGGTGGCTCAAATATTGCTGTTATAGCTATGCAATGTGTAATCTTATATTGTTTAAATAAAGTTAGGCAAATTCAACTGAAATCATGACTGTAATATTTGAAATATGTCATCTGATTGACCTTCATCATACCAACATATAGCCTGGGCAAGGATTATGTCAAAAATGGCAAGGCAAGAGGAAAATAGAACAAGTCAGATTGTATTGCCACTTCTTTAGTCAGAGAATGAGGACAAGTTATAAGCAAAAAGCACAGATCACCTTGAAATCTTGAAACCAATGTCAAAGCCTACCTACCTGACAACTTGTATGGTCTCCCTCTTTTTAAAGTAATGCAATGCATTAGGTAGGTACATTGCTAGGTGTGAAATTTATGGAGAACTTCACAAACCCCATTACAAATCAGTTTTATAAGCATATGCTTCAAATTGCTATGCTTCCCACACTAACTGAAAGGTTTTTGAGCAAACTCATGAGCAAACTCCATGCCAGCATATCTTGTTATTGAGTAAACATGTTGACTACTTAACTGACCATTCCTTTTTCTATAATCATATAAATTACAATTCTACACAGACCTGTAGACAATTCATGACACATTTTCCACCCACAAAATTATTATATACACCAGTAAAACGCCTTTTGGGCGAAGAACGAGCGAGCGAGATAGTGAGCCCTGCACGTGCGGAAGGGCGAGAGGGTGCTTCCAACGGGCTTGTGCAAAGCACCCTTCTAACCGGTCGCTAGCGGTGTGCCAAATTTGAACGCAATCGGCCCAGCCGTTCCTGAGATCTGGAAGCGGCATTCTGCACGTGCGCACGTGCCAACGGGGTCCAAAATGACTTTTGCACGGCACCCTACTAACTGGTCCCCAACCGTGTACCAAATTTGAGCGCAATCGGCCCAGCCGTTCTCGAGATCTGGAAACGCCCCCTGCACGTGCGCACGTGCAGTAGCACCCTAACCGCAACACATGGGAATGCATCGCCTGGTGGGTGCCTACCTGTATGCAAAGTTTCAGCGAAATCGCCCCAGTAATTACCGAGTTACTGAAATGGGAACAAATTTGGCACCTCTTATTGTTGTATTTTGCACGTGCACTGGGGGTGACCCACATACATCGAGAGTATCCTATTTTGGGTAGAAGGGATGCTGCTACCCTATAAAAATTACCGCAAGTCAATTGCCCAAGCGCCTGCTGAGATATGAGCCTCTCAAAATCACTACTTTTGCAAAACAGCTTGAACACCCTTGACTTTTCACGTGGCACGTGCCACCACGGTCACTGAGATGTATCAAAAGTAGTCAATTACGGGGTAGAAGGGATGGGGCTACCCAACAAAAAAGACCGCAGGCCAATCGGTCCAGCGGTTGCTGAGATATAAGCCTCTCAAAAGCGTTACAGGCCGGGCCGGGCCGGGCCGGGCCGGGCCGGGCCGGGCCGCTCATACTGAAATTTTTCCGTTATATTGAAAAGACTCACTTCGCTCGCTGCGCTCGCTCGCTCGTAACAACTGAACACAAAGCCTATGTTTAAAATAATCACATATCTGTTGCATTTTTGCTGTATAGGTACATGTCTATAGACATGAATAATTTGATGTTGTGAGCCTTGTGCCCAGATGAATGTTTGTGGTATTGGTGTTACAACAAGGAAATTGAAAATTTGTCATGCAGTTTAGGGAAGTTATACCTACCTAGGTAATGTTCAAAATGAAGTGAGATGCCTTCAATTACTAAATCTCCAGTACATTGAAGAGCCATATATTCTTTTGAAGGAAATTTTTAGGTACCTATTTACATTAGAGCTAGGTAGGTAGCAGTGGTCGATAAAACTTCCAACGTGCCAACGCTCGTTGGAGCAAGATATTAGCAATACTTGGAAGAGCTGGAGACAGTCCGCCCGTCTACATGGATGCTTCCTTACACCTAAAATACAGCATTGACTTATGACGTTCTAATCGTCCGGTGCTGTTATCGGCTGCTCGGTACCGCGTGTATGTTCCCTCATTCACTCCTGGTCACCCTTCGGTCACCCCTCGCTGGGTCGGGCCAGTCGGCTATTTTTATCCTCTTTCCGGCTAGGCCACCCGCTGAGCTCCCGCCGTGCCGCGCCGTCTGCGAGGGACCTGACCCTTCTGCCGGCAGAGGTTTCTCCAGGTGTCTCCAAGGAGCCATCGTAGCGCTAAGGGTGTGCTCCGCATACACATACATTGATTTTCGCCCTTACTAGCAGGGCCGCTGGCACGCGTTGGCAGCGCCCCGCGGGCATTTTTTCGCTTAGGGTCATTTTGTGGTAAGGAGGATCAGAAAATCACCCTTCCAACTTTCTCCAGGCCTGGGTGTTTTATCGAGCGCGCCTGAAAACGCACAGTGGACCGGAATCACACTTCGATTGCGTTACTTCGTATTAGGTAATACGATCAAAAGTGCGCTCTCTTCTCAATCAATAAGGACAAGTGCGTTAAAACACATTTATAAACTTTTAAATTAAAAGCTTTAAAATGCTAAATTTCAACATTTCTACGCTGATGATAATCGTTAGTTGTTTCAGACTTTGGCATGAAAACGTAGGCATTCAGATCCACCGTGTGACCGGTCACCGTATGCAGTAGTGTGATGGTGTGAGTTGGGGAGTCAAGGCCGTGTGGGGAGAAGGTGAGGAGATACCGGTGTGCCGACGCGGCGGATGGCAGTGATTAGACAGTTGTGCATGCATTGTTCATCTAGCATATCATTTGCTTGGGCGAAATTATAGGCATGGCGCCTGTTTATCCGTCTAATTCATAGGAAAGGTGTGAGTACCAATACTGGTCGTACTTTTCATAATCTCAAAGAGAGCCTGAAGAAACACACGGAAGGATTACATAAGGACCGGCCTATTCGGAAAGAAAAATGCTGTCGTCGGCATTGTTGGGCACTGGCCAATGTCAGTCTGGGACACAACCATCAGGTAAGAAGGACGTTTAAATTATCGTTGGTTGTATACGTGCATTCTTGCATTGTTGTGTTTTTTAACCCTCGCCGGCACAGGGGGGGGGGTTGATGCAACCCCCCTAAGGTTTTTCGCGAATAACTCGCGTAAAAAGCGGCCGATCGCGACGAAACTTTCAGTACTCTCGCATTGATCAATTTTACACCTACCCTGAAAATTTCATGACCCTGACCCCAATGACCTTTGACCTGTGACCTCTTTTCCGAGACCATGTTTGACCGGAATCGCGATTCGGCGTATGTCGGCTCGCATTAGCCGCGCGTTTGCAAGCTTTTCGTGGTTTCAAACGTTCAAACATGTGATTTGATGTTGCTCCCATACATTAGGGTGGGTGTCAAGGTCACCTGAAGGTCAGGTCAGGTCATTGACCTTTGGTGACCTCGGGTGACCTCGGTTCACTTTTTCGAGTTTTACATGTTTCTAGGCTAGTTTTTGGAGCTGAATTCGAATTTCGCAACCATTTGAAAATTTACGAAGTAGTTTTGGTGCCTTCGTAACATGTTACGAAGCTGTCAGAGGCGGTTGACACGTATTACGAATACCCGTCAGGATCCCTACCGGTTGACCTGACCTGACCTGACCCGACCTGGTCTAAATGCTTAAAGACATCTCTGATCAAAACTTACACGATATTCGTGATCAGCACCCCGGAAAACCACATAGCAGCCACACTTTACGACTTTCTGACAGGTCCCGATTTTTCCGGTTTTCGGGTCATTGACCTGACCTGGAAGGTCACCTGATGACCTAGGACCTTAAAATTGGGTATCATCGGCTTCCTCTCGTGACGGGCAACACGCTCGTTTTTTTCCGCGAAGCTCTAGCTCGATCAGGGGCCAAACGCGAGGGGGGTCGTACCAACCCCCCCCCCCCCTTGTGCCGTCGAAGGACGCAAAATGGTCTGTGCCGGCGAGGGTTAATGGTGGTCATATGCAAGTTAGTGTAGTGTTGATGTTTGTATGCTGCTCCAGAACGTTTCGGTACCCAAGTAGCTATCTTGGTCGAAACGACACCATCATTTAGGAATAAGTCACGGCTTAATTAACCCTCGCACTTAGAGAGGTGGGGCCTGAGGGGTGTGTCGAAAGCCCCCCTCGTTTTTTTCGCGAATAACTCGCGCAAACATTGGCTGATCGCGACAAAACTTACATCAACAAGTGAATTCATTTTGTACATACCATAAATATTTCATGACCATGACCTAAATGACCTTTGATCAGTCACCTGCTTCTTCAGATTACTCAGGCCGGAATCGAGATTAGCGCATGTCAGCACACATATTCCGTGTGTTCTCTGTCTTTTTATAGCTATTAACGTTTTAATATGTGAGATGTTGTTTGTGCCATGCATAATAGTGGCTCCAAAGGTCACTTGAAGGTCAGGTCAAAGTCATTCACCTTAGATGACCTTAGATGACTTTTCGGGGTGTACATGCTTGTACTTTGTAAGGTAGTTTTTGGAGCTGATTTCGAATGAAGTGTCATTCGAACATTTAGGAAGTAATTGTGGTGCCTATGTAACATGTCACCATAAAGTTCTAGCCCGATATCGTTGAAAATAGCTAAGGTATACGCGTCATAGTCAAAACTTCACATATAATTAACTTTTCAAATCGTACGTTTTTTTCGTACGTTTTTTACATCGTACACCAATATAAAAAGTACCGGCGAGTTACTGAGCTTAAATAGCATCCAATAGACATCCTTTTTGTTGAAAATTTTCAACTAAAAACTTTGACCTTTTTGACCCGAAAGTGACCTGACCTCAGCCATACCTATTAAGCTGATGATGACCATTGACCTCAATGACACAAACGACACTTATTTCAAAATATATGGCCTGAATGAACCATATAACATGTGACCCGTGACCGAGTCATGATTTAAGCTTTCTGTTGTGATGACCTGGCCTCGACCTGAAAATCAAAGTACAGGTTTTTCAGCATCAGGGTATCTTAACCCTCGCATGTGTAGGGGGATCGGATGGTCCCCCCCCATGGTTTTTCGCAAATAACTCGCGCAAAAAGCGGCCGAGCGCGACGAAACTTTCATTACCCTCGAGTTGATCAATTTTACACCTACCCTGAAAATTTCATGACCCTGACCCAAGTGACCTTTGACCTGTGACCTATTTCTCGAGGCCATGTTTGGCCGGAATCGCGATTCGGCGTATGTCGGCTCGCATTAGCCGCGCGTTTGCAAGCTTCTCGCGGTTTCAAACGCTGAAACATGAGCTCTCAAACATGTGTCTCAAACATGAGCTCTCAAACATGAAACATGTGTCTCTCAAGTTTTCACAATTGGAGCCATTCGGGAAAATTTATTTAGATTTCGTCATGACCTCTAGATAACCTCAGGTCAACCGAGTCGGAAAAAAACGGGATGCATGTGATGGTATGTGGTGAGCTTAGCATATCCTGAAAGTTGGAATACATCGATGAACAACTCTAGATTTTATGGAAAGAAATGTTTTTTTCGCAGGCATTTCGACAATGTACCGGTTTTTTGCCTTGGGATTTGACCTGAGGTCACCGGAGCTCAGTGCTCCCAGGACACGTGTCAAATGAATGCTTCAAATTGTGTCTGATATTTGGTAGCGCTACGTTCCACGGCACTCACGTCGAAAAGCTCTTCATTCGGTTTCCGCTCAATATGTTCTTTAACCTGACATTGTACCGATTTGTACCGGTTTTTGTGACAGCTGGTGTCCTGTCCTGAAATGACTGACACCTGAAATTTTCAGGATATGTGGCAAAAGGCTCATTCCCAGACGTTGCGCCAAATTTTGCGGCGCTACGCGACACCACCTTTTACGCTATTCGCGAAAAAAAAAACTTAGGGAGGCTGCATCCCCCCCCTCCCGCCAGGCGAGGGCTAAGTTGGAGACAGTGATGGGACTAAGATGTTCGTTGGAGCAACTCCAAGCATTTTATCGACCTCTGGTAGGTAGTTACCTGCATGTTAGCATCTTTCAATGTTGTTCTTTATCAATCAAAATGAGTGGAAAATTTAAAAAAATAAGTAGAAGTGATCAGATTGGATAGGTAAAGCAATTTCACAATACATTTGACTTTCAGTTTCAGTTCTCATCAAGCCAATTAGGTTGGGTACCTACCTACTTACCAGCACCTCCATAATCGCTCCCCAAAATGCCCCCTGCCACGAACCTCTTATGAAAAGTTTATAGAAGTGCAGGCTGCAGATTTCCGGCCCATGCAGAGTTTTCATTTCTTTGGCAATTCCTCAACTCCATGCACTTGGAGCTCACAACCTTCTATTACCACACCATCACATCACAAAATATAGTGTGAAAGTCCTTATACACTTCGCTTACACTTCACAAGACACACATCCACAGCACAGTACAGCAACTGAAGCGAGCTGTTCACTGTTACAATTATCTTTCAAATTCAACTGACACCGATAGCTGGTTACCACGCAACGCGCTAGCAAATGGCGTCAGCTTGTCCCACGAATGGCGGTTGCTATGGAAACCAGCTGACGAAACTTTACCAGAACCCATTTTCGAACAGGAGTTTTGTTAAGGCGCCCCAAGAATTTGTGCGCCGTTTTTCGAAACATGCCCACCACTTTCGCAGTTTTTCATCCTACATTTTACCTACACGGTGTCTCATGAGACACAATGTTAATCCAATGGGAACTGTCTCGTGGGTGTCTCATGGAGGAGATTTGTAGGAACTGTTTTTGAAGACACGTAAAGAAATGTAATGACCAAATGCCGTTGACAGCTGATTGTACCGACCAATTGCTACCAGTTAGCTGTTTTTATAGTCATTTTTGTACAGAAAACACAAACTGAAATCTGTCTCGCGGCTACCCTCTTCGGCTCTTTCCTGTCTCCTACATTGTAGGCAAGTAGGAAGGTTTGTGCACCTCTGTGGAGTTGTCTGTTGTGTCAATTTTATGTTGTCCTGTGTTTCAGAAAACGGCATCATTAAAGAACTCAAATCCTAATCATCTGTTTGCCTTTAATAAGAATTCAAATTTGAGCTATTAGTCCGTTAACAAAATAGTTGCGTGGTAATGACTCATGATATGGATTAAGCCATTAACAGTTTTATAAGTCTTGGTTAATTTCGTTATTTGTCCATAATATTTTAATATTTTATCCTTTTTGTGAAATTGCAAGAAACATGGAGAATTTTACGGTGTACCAGTTGAAGTCAGAGCTTAAACGTCGCGGGAAGTCACCTGTAGGCAACAAGGCCGACCTCATCGCGTCTTTACGATCTGTCATAGAGGAAGAGGGCATCGACTTCGAGAGCTGGGCTATATTCGGAAACGGTGACGATTCCGCAGAAGCTGCTCCTAGCGAAAGTGCGTCCCAAATTAGTGCTGGAGGGTCGATCAAATCAGCTGTCTCGGTTGCTGAAGTGGCTAGGCTAAGACGAATGGAAGAATGCGCCACTAGAGCTGGCCTGGAGGCGAAGGCGAAGGTGTTACTCGAAAGGCAAGAACTTGAAGTAAAAATGGCTGAACTGGAAAGAAAAAGAGAAATTTTGGAAATCACCGAAGCCATTGCAATCTCAGAGGCAAGGGCAATCGAACTTGGCAAGCACGAAAACGACACAAAAACGAATCATGACATACACGAACCGAAGCCGATCTGCACGACCCAAACGATAAACAAAACTGGATCCGAAGCAAGGCTAAGACGCAGCGATCGAAGTGAAACGTTAGGTGTACCCGATTCCAACGACTCTCCAACCGACAGCAGGGACATCGCGAAGGCATTACGACAAGAAAGGGAGCTGACTGCTGGATTGATGCGCCTACCGCCAGTAGAGTTGACAAAGTTTGGAGGTGACGTAACTGAATTTCCGCATTTCATTAGGACATTTGAATTAAAAATAGCTTCAAAATTATCAACTGACGAAGAAAAATTATTTTATTTAGAACAAAACATGATACCAAGAACCAAGCCACATGACATTGTAACAGCCTGTTTGTATCTCGATAATGGATATCAGGAAGCAGTTGACCTACTTTCAAGGCGGTATGGCACAGAGAGCGCCTTGGCTGCCGCATTTGTCGATAGATTCGAACATCTTAGACCGTTGAAATCAGAAGACGTCGAAGGACTGGACAAATTCGCACTTGAGCTACTGAAATGTAAAAATGCTTTTTGCGTAGGAAGTATGGCTATGAGTGATCCTAGAACTATGAGAAGCATAAGTTCAAAATTGCCACAACATTCACAGCATAGATGGCGACAACGAGCCGATGCGATCGACGAAGGTGAAGGCAGAGCTGTTAATTTTGAGAATCTTGTAAAATTTGTTGCAAAGGAGGCAAGAGTCGCTACGAACCCAGTCTTTGGAAATTACATGATGAGATCAGATACAAAACAATCTTATTCTTTTTCTAGTTCTCCAAAAGGCCAGTCACATACTATTGTGGCTAGAACTCAACTGAATACCAGCGACCTTTGCTTTCATTGTCAAGATGGAAAACATGAAATTACAGGTTGTAGTACATTTGCAAGCTTGCCACATGAAGAAAAGGTGTCAATTATTCGAAATTCTGCTTTATGTTTCGCGTGTCTCAAAATGGGCCATCGTAGTGCCGACTGCAAGCGCCGCGCCCATTGCTCGATTTGCGAACGACGACACCCCACTTCTATGCACGTCTTCGAGTTACGTGATAATAGGGAGCATGTGAATGACGACCAAAGGGTAACTTCTTGCAGGATAAGTGAAACATATGTTCCTCTGAAAACGGCTCTCCCCATCGTACCTGTGGTACTACACTGCGGTGTTAAGAAGGAAATCACGTTTGCGTTCCTCGACAGCGGTTCTACGCATTCATTCATTTCGGAAGAGCTGATAGAGAGGTTAAAATTACGGCGATTGCCACATAAAAAAATTGTTATTGACTACTGTGAACAAGAAGGAAGAAAGTACAGCAAAAATAGTAAAGGACACTTGGTTGTCTGACTTCGACAGCGGAAACACCCTGAAACTACCTCATTTGTTTTCTCTTCGAAACATTCCAGTGGATAGCTCAGAGTTCCCTTCTCAGGCTGAAATCAGCAAGTGGGAGCATTTAAGAGATATTCAACTGCCTGATTGTAAAAACGTAAAAGTCGGGCTTTTGCTAGGATCCAATGCATTCTTAGCCATGGAACCGTTACAAGTAATACCCAGCATTGGCGAGAATAGTCCATTCGCTGTTAGAACACGATACGGGTGGATCGTAAGTGGCCTCAGAGGCATTTCTGCATCCATTCCCGTCGCAAATTGCAAGATTCGCGTAAACCAAAAATCAGAAATACAGGGCATTCAGCAGCCGCAGATAGTACAGCTTTACAATAAGAAACACGAAGCAGGCGTACATTCGTGTAAGACGGAAGACTCTGTTTGGAAGAGAGTCAAGAGAAAAGCAAAGCTGGCGTCAAACTACAACTGTATATGGAAAACATGTTTTTTGCTCAGCCTGTTCCTTACGTTAGTGATGCACAAAACAACAATATTGCCAGACAAAATGGCTGACGTTCCGTCGGACCGAATACAAGCTCAAGCTACAAGAGGAACAAATTTCATAGGAGCAAGCGGGGAGTTGCGTTTGGAAATACCGAAACAATCCGACAGTGGACCGTTCTTGCAAAGCACAATGTTGAATCGAGGCATTGATTGGAAGATTCGAAGAGTGCTAAAATCTGTTTTGACATTACAGCCTCTAAGAGACGAGACACTAAGAACCCTGTTTTGTGAAATTGAGAGCATACTATATAGCAGACTGCTGACCAGGGGCGGATCCAGGAAAACTCCAAGGGGAGGGTCATGAATCCAAGTGATGCCCCTACCTATACCCAAAATTAAAAACTCAACGGATTTCGTCCACTTCATTTTGGTGGTGCCCCCATTTTCAGTTTTTTTTTCTTTTTATTTTTTTTTAGTCAGTATCTTAACTCTTAGCCACAACCACATTTACCAATTGTAAGCAAGTATATATGAATGTGCTATGTGTATATATGTTGTGGACGCTGAGTAGTGAGTACTTACCAGGAACGTTATCAGGTAAGCAAATCGTTGTCAGTCCGACGAACTTGACCCTGGCGTCTAAAGCGTCTGTCCTCGACACTTCAGGCTTGTCAGGGGCACCAAAGTCCTTCCAGGGACACCACAAACCTGTCAGGGGCACCTACGGCCTTGTAGGGGCGCCACAGGCCCGCCAGGGGCACCACAGGCCTGCCAGGAAGCAGGGGCACCACAGGTCTAGCAAGACGACAGGCCTGTCAGGGGCACAACGGGCCTGTTGGGCCCATGAGCACCCCTAGGGGCAGGGGCACCACAGTCCTTCCAGGGGCACCGCAGGCCTGTGAGGGGCACCAGCGGCCTAGCAGGGGCACCAGTCAACACAGGCCTGCCAGGGGCACCACAGACCTGCCAGGGGCACCAGAGGCCTGCCAGGAGCACCACTGACCTCGCAGGGGTAACTTGGGCCTGTCAGGGCCCAGGGGCACCACGGGCTTGTCGAGAGGCACTTCAGGCTTTTCAGGGGCACCATAGTCCTCTCCGGACGCAGGGGTAGCAGGGGCACCAGAGGCCTGCCAGGGGCACTACAGGCCTAGCAAGGGCACCACTGGTCTATCAGGGGCACCACGAGCCTGTCATAGCCAGGCATCTCAGGCTTGTAAAGGCCCAGGGGCACCACAGGTCTGTGAGGGGCACAAGCGACCTAGCAGGGGCACCAGTCAACACAGGTCTGCCAGGGGCGCCACAGACCTGCCAGGGGCACCACAGACCTGCCAGGGGCACCAGAGGTCTGCCAGGGGCACCACCGGCCTCGCAGGGGCACCTTGGGCCTGTCAGGGGCACCACGGGCCTGCCGAGGTGCACTTCAGACTTTTCAGGGGCACCAGTCCTCTCCGGGCGCAGGGGTACCAGCGGCCTAGCAAGGGCACCAGAGGCCTGCAAGGGGCACCAGCGGCCTAGCAAGGGCACCAGAGGCCTGTCAGGGGCACCACAGGCCTAACAAGGGCACCACGGGCCTGTCAGGGGCACCTCAGGCTTGTCAGGGCCCAGGGACACCACAGTCCTTCCAAGGGCACCGCAAGCCTGTCAGGGGCACCAGAGGCCTGCCAGGGGCACCACAGGCCTAGCAAGGGCACCACTGGCCTGTCAGGGGCACCTCAGGCTTGTCAGGGCCCAGGGGCACCACAGTCCTTCCAGGGGCATTACAAGCCTGTCAGGGGCACCAGAGGCCTAGCAAGGGCACCACAGGCCTGCCATGGACACCACAGGCCTGCCAGGGGCACCACCGGCCTTGCAGGGGCGCCTCAGGCCTGTCAGGGGCACTACGTGCCTGCCGGGGACACTTCAGGCTTGTCAGGGGCGTTACAGTCCTGTCAGGGCCCAGGGGCACCAGGCCCGTGGTGTCCCTGCTAGGCCTGTGGTGCCCCTGTCAGGACTGTGATACCCCTGATAGGCCGGTGGTGCCCCTGGCAGGTCTTTGGGCCCCCGGGCCTCAAGGGGGGGGGGCCATGACCCATGTGACCCCCCCCCTTGGATCCGCCCCTGCTGCTGACACCCATATCCAGCGACGTAAGGGACGAACCTCCCACCTCTCCAAATTACTGGTTACTCCATGGCGGTCGTGGCGTGACTCTACCCTTTACAGTCTTTTTGCAAGCTGAGCGCGTCAATAAGAAAAGATGGAAGCAGGCTTTTTATCTTGCAAATGCATTTTGGAAGCGATGGGGATCAGAATACTTGCCGACGCTTCAAGAGAGACAAAAAATATCAACTCTAAGAACAAATCTGCAACAAGAAAACACAGTTCTTCTAGTCGATGACGTGGTTCCCAGGGGCCAGTGGCCACTTGGTCTGGTGGAAGCTGTCCGAGCGAATGCAGATGGGCTGGTTCGGTCCGCGACCATCAGAACAAGAGGATTAATAGTTGAGCGACCAGTAACAAAACTGGTAAAGTTAAATTGAACTTTCATCGAACTGAACTCGAAAAGCCGAATTGAAACCTAGATGCAACTATGCAGACAATTGAAGAGCCCCTAGTGGTTTCAAGGGGTGGGTGTTAGTGCCGTTTCGTGCTTCATGTCCCGCGGAGGAGCAATAAGATATCGCCTCGAGACTTGCCTAAGAAATTTGAATTTATTTTCACGAGTTGTTCGATTGAAAACCTAATTTTTGTACTTGATATTTATACTTAGTTCACATGGTTATTTAAATATTAATTTGTTTCTGAATCAAGAACCTCGCAGACTTATGTAAGTAACTTAAACTACGTGTACTTTCGATCCTTGCTAACTATGAATTTAAATGTGCTTATGTCAAGAGAATTTGTTGACCTAAATGCTGAATGGAGTTGTCTGTTGTGTCAATTTTATGTTGTCCTGTGTTTCAGAAAACGGCATCATTAAAGAACTCAAATCTTAATCATCTGTTTGCCTTTAATAAGAATTCAAATTTGAGCTATTAGTCCGTTAACAAAATAGTTGCGTGGTAATGACTCATGATATGGATTAAGCCATTAACACCTTCACCTTTCAATCATCTGGCCAAGCCTCAATGAGCAGTAGCTTCTTGAGGTTACGCTTGAAGGCGTTTCCGCTAAGACACCGTAAATCAGGAGGCAGCTGGTTGAATGCGCTGCTACAGTGTGCTAACATCCGTGCACCAGAGCATGTCCTGACTCTGTGGTTTTGAAGAAGGCCAGTCTGGCGGGTCCGGTACTGAGCATTGACATGCGAAAACATTGCTGCTATGTCGGACGGCAGGCCAGTCTCTAGGGCAGTTTTGAAAATAAATACAGTGACGCTGCATAGCCAAGTCGTACGTGATTGAGGCGTACAATATTAGCAATAAGCATATTCAATAAACATAATTAGAAAGCATCGAAGTTGGCTGCAGATTTAGGCCGATTAAGTCAGATAATTGTTGTCAAACAGATATACGTAAATGCAACTTCTACGCTGTGAGCTTTTCCAAAATTAAAAAGCTTGATGCTTTATGTGTAACTGGCACGGGGTGTAGGAACCTAGCTGGTATTTTCTGTTTCTGTTATTCATGCATGTTTTAGAAAATAAATTACATATTTGTCCTTTTTTATATTTAGCAGATGTCTGCAATAAACGTTAATCCTGCGTTCTTTTTCAAATTGAGACTGAGTGCAGTGAATTTGTTCTGTTTGGACACAAATTACTTATCAATGACTCTAGCCTCTAGTTAATGGCTTTAACCTCTGGTTGTGTTATCAATTTGTGACCGATTCTTATGCTTCTCTTCTCGTCTCCCGTCTCCTCCGCCTGTTTCTCTTCTCGTCGCCTTGTCGCCTTTTCCCTCTCCGTCGCGGGCGGTCGATCCAATACGGCCGAAATGTGTGGCGTCTGACGCGCGTTGTGTTTGCGAGTAACGGTGCTTGTCCGGTGGTCCGGCATACCTGGCAATTCACCGCGCACGCGTGGCGGCTGGCGGAGGAGGGGGGGGGGGGGGCGGCGAGCCAGACCCGCCTCCGTGCTCTCCTGCGTCGCGTCGATGTCGGCAGCTGACTTGGTGCCGGCTGCCGCCCAACTTAACGCTTTTGTTTGCCGCGGCGCCGTCGACAAAATGCGCAGGATGGCGCTCCGGGCTTCCCACTGACTGCGAAAGGAGGAACTTCTAAGCTAGCTACCTTCCCAAGCCTATAACCGTGTTAAAGTTACACAACTGTAAATGAAAAGTAAACAAACTTGAACCGGGAATTCAGCAGAGAAGTGTTTTGGGTGGTGGGTTTCAGTGTGTCAAATGCGTGGCGATACATTTTCATTATGGTTGGGTCTTATCCGACCAACATTTAACGATGGAGAAGAAAAACAAACATTTTTCACACATGTTTTTGGACTTCCTGTTCGTTGTTTGGTTTCTTACGGAGTTTTATGACTATCATAACTTCCCCGAGGTAGACTGTCAACTCATCCCATCGCCTTAGATGGGTTTAAGAGGCTTTCAGAAGAGTGCTCTGAGCGCTTAGCGCAAATCACGTCCGGCGATGACGAAGCAGATTGAGGAGAGCGGGATGCGATAATAAAGCCGACGTTAGGTGGATCCAGGCAGTGCCACGTGCCGAGGCGAGGTTCTGGACCTGGTTTTCTCTTGACACTTTCCTTGTGTTTAAAGAAAAAAAAACAGCTCAATTGAAACTCAATGCTGCCGATTCATGGCAAATATTTCTGATTTACCTCACAGCTGCTTTTGTCTTCTAACAACACCAGCCTGACAAACGTCACTAACCTCCGACCGTGTCCGCGTTTCCAGGCGGAATCCAGGCGCTGGAAGCGATGTTGTACACGCTGGACTACATCAACAACCACGAGGACGACATGATTCCGGGCATCCAGCTGGGCGCCCTGATCCTGGACGACTGCGACAAGGACTCCTACGGACTCACTCAGGCCGTTGAGTTCATCAAAGGTCAGTGTAGGGCAGCCGGTGGTGGTTTCGGCCCCTCGGCGCACACGGTCCCTCAGTGTCCTTTCTGTCTCTCTGTCTCTCTGTCTCTCTGTCTCTCTCTCTCTGTCTCTCTCTGTCTCTGTCTGTCTGTCTCTCTCTCTCTCTCTCTCTCTCTCTCTCTCTCTCTCTCTCTCTCTCTCTCTCTCTCCCTCCCTCTGTCTCTGTCTCTGTCTCTGTCTCTGTCTCTGTCTCTCTCTCTCTCTCTCTCTCTCTCTGTCTCTGTCTCTGTCTCTGTTTCTGTCTCTGTCTCTGTCTGTCTGTCTCTCTCTCTCTCCTCTCTCTCTCTCCTCTCTCTCTCTCTCTCTCTCTCTCTCTCTCTCTCTCTCTCTCTCTCTCTCTCTCTCTCAGCGTCATCTTTTCCGAGTACCGCTGGCCTCACAGCGCCTCTTTCGCCCCAATCCCCCCTAGTGCAACGTGGCGCTCAGTGTTCAACACTTTTCCCACTAAGCGCCCTCCTCCCCAACCCACTCCGCTCAGGCTGTCTGTGTAGAGTCTCCTCGGGTGGCTATCAAAGCATACAAAAGCGCAGCGTACAATCCTCCAAACATACAAAATCGCAACGTACAACGCGCAAAACCTACAAAACAGGCCAGGTAGGGGACAGCCCAAACGTACAAAAGCGCAGCGTACAAAATCCCAACGTACAAATGTTTACCGTCCAATGGGTAAAGCGTACAATGGCAAATCAAACAATGATCAGAACGTACAAATTGGAACGTACAATGGCAGATCAAACAAACGCGTATCGTACAAAATTGCAACCTACAAAACGAGATGATCGTATCATACAAAATTGCATCGCCTAAAATCGGAAGGTACAAAATGCCTCTGGTTGACGCCGGGTGAATTGATATTTAACAAGGCAGCCACCAGATGGGGTAATGGTGCTGTGGCAGTGGTTTTTTGGAAGCCACCAGGAAATAGAGTGGAATGCCACTAAGTCCCTTAGAAACACGATACCTCTGGACGCTGCACCGGCCGGCTATCGACGCTGCGGGCGGTCGGAGGGTGCCGAGGGGAATGGTTCCGAACAGGCGGGAACACGATACCTCTGAACGCTGCACCGGCCGACTATCGACGCTGCGGGTGCCGCGTGGACCGGTGCCGAGCAGGCGACGAGGAGAAGCGGGCATCAAGACCGTGAGAAATCTATTATATTGGCGGGTGTGCATATGTAGGTAAATGAGGCAAACGTGCATAGGTATGTAACACCTTCATCCTTGATCACATACCGCTACCCACGCACTGCGGGGGGGGGACTGTTTAAACAACCCCTCCGGTTTCTCGCGAATATCTAAAAAACGGCGGCTCAGAGTGCCGCCGTGTTTTGCACATCTTATCATACATCTTTTCTACACCTTCTGTGAAAACTTCAGACCAAAGTCATCCAAGGTCAGGTCACCATATCACGTCAAGTGACCTTACTACATGAAAAGTTTCAATACCTGTCACAGCTACACCGAGTGACTGATCACTTTGAAACTTTGAGCAACTGATAAAACAACAGTATACACAATACACATAATGTATACAATAATTACAATAATGATACACAAAATGTATCTCTCGGAACTTCGATATCGGTGACCTAAAGTCAGTCCAATTTTGCGACCTCTCCATTATAAATCAATGGGAGAAAATTGAAAGGCGCCTCTTTTGGCCGAACGTCATTCTAATCACTTTCAAACATCGAATTACAAGTAGACGTGACAAACTGAACCGGAAAATGGTACCCGTGACCCCTCTTTATGTCCCTGAGGTCATCTCAGGTCACGAATGGTATCCTACAGTTTTTCGCAAATAACTTTTGACATAGACATGCTAGAGCGATGAAAAAACCTTATATGTATGTGTTTTGCTCGACAATATGGATCGACTGATGCAGCATGACCTTTTCTGGTCAGGTCATGACATTGACCTGAGGTCATGACCTTGTCATGAGGTCATGACCTTGTCATGAGGTCATGACCTTGACCTAAAGTAAATTTTTCAAGTTGAACTTTTGAGGTCAACTTATAGTTCTTTCGATGCGTCGCCTTGACGAGAGGAACACGATGCTGCTGAAAGTAAGCTCGTGCATGTTTTGAGTCAAAAGGTATTGCAGAAAAACAGTTCCCGCAAAAACCATCTACCTATTCTGGCAGTTTTTGGCCCCTGCACGCTAAACCGTTCCTAATCTATGCGCCGGTTTGTCGAAATTATCGAAGTTTGACCTGGAGAGTGGCGAAATTTTACCTTTGGTGACCTCTGTTGACCTGACCTTTGAGCTGACCTAAAATGTGGCCGATATAATTTCTTCATTACTTCTGCCGCTCTTTCGAACGCCGTCTACGGCGTGTCGCTACGTGGCCCAGGAGCCGAGTGAGAAGGGGGGTGTTGAAACCCCCCCCAGTGCAGGTGGCGCCGAGCACCGGCCCGGCGCCGGTTAGTCAATCGCATGGCGTTTAACATAACGGTACATCATCGGTGTTAAACCCGCGCCCTGCTGAGGGGGGGGGGTGTTTGAACACACACACACACCCCTGTGTTTTTTCACAAATATCTCAAAAACGGCAGCGCGGAGCGCCGCCGTTTTTGGCACACCTTATAATACATTTTGTACATACTATTGCTCTTAGCAATCGTTGAAACTTTCGAAGCGATCGGTCACTTGGTGTAGCTATGGCGGACATTGAAACTTTGCATGAGGTGAGGTCACTTCAAGTGACCTGGTGACCTGACCTTAGATGACCTTGGTCTGAATTTTTTAAAACATGTGTAGAATTGATGTATTATAAGTTGTGCCAAAAACGGCGGCGCTCCGCGCTGTAAACTATGTTGAAATAAACTCTGCATATCTCAGAGTTTTGATATCGATGACCAAAGGTCAGGTCAATTTTGCGACCTCCCCATTATAAGTCAATGGAAGAAAATTGAAAGGCGCCTCTTGTGAAAGCCATTATAAACAATCCCAAACACTGAATTACAAGAAACTAAGACACATTGAACATGAAAATAGTATCCGAGACCCCTGTTTATGCCCCTGAGGTCATCTCAGGTCACGAATAGTATCTAACAGTTTTTCGCGAATACCTTTTGATAGAGGCATGCTAGAGCGATGAAAACGCCTTGGATGTGTTCAGCTCGACGATACGGATCGACTGATATGCAACATGACCCTTTCCGGTCAGGTCATGTTGGTAAAAGTAAGCTTGTGCAAGGTTTGAGTCAAAAGTTATTGCAGAAACACTTTCCAAAAAATCGGTTATTTTGGCAGTTTTTGCCCCCTGCAGGCAAAACCGTTGGCGCTAGGTCAAATCTGAGAGAATTATTCAGAAAGGGCGTTAATAGGGCTATCGAAGTCGCTTTTCCGCGGCGCTGTAGATAGCCCGGCAGTTGCTGGGGTATTTCGCCACCCACCGTTTGCTGGGGGGGGGGGGGCGTTAAACGCCCCCAGCCGATAACTCGAGAACCAATAGGCGCAGCGAAACGCACGAGGCGGCAAACGAAAGAACGCGACGAGACGCTTCAGATGAGTACTTTAAAGTTGAATTTTGAGGTCACAGGTCAGGTCAAGGTCAGGTCAAACACCTGAAATCGGGCTTTCAGTAGCATGGACTTCAGGACTTCGTAATGGGCGCCTCTCGTCATAAACTCTGTCAAAACGGTGCGCAATCCATCATATAAGGCGTACAAGAGTGTCAGCTCCATATAGGGGTCAGTCAAGCATAGGTCAGGGTCAAGGTCAGGTCAACCGGGCAGGCACATATCCCCGAAAATCAAAACTGATATTCGCAGCCATGTATACGCGTTTTTCGGGCTTAGCCTAACCAAATAAAACACCGTTTAATTTACCCTAACGAAACTTAAGCTAACATTTTTGATCGTTTAATTGCAAGTTAGCCTAAATCTGGCTTATGCTGATATGAAGGGAATATGAAGGAGCCGTTGAAGCAGAGCCAGAAAACTTCGCCACGGTTATCATGCGACCAGCTGAACTTTCCGCAGATTGGGAGACACTGCTACGGAGTTGAAGAGGCTAGTCCACGGCGTAATTATTTTTTTCCAATCAAAGGAAGGCGCTATACGGAGTATATCCCAGTGCGTCATTGTCAAGTGACTTACAACACCTTTATCCGGCCAGCTGTCTGCGAGGTGGGTTGGTTAGTGCACTCGCCCCGTGTTCAGAGGACCGAAGGTTCGAATCCCGCCGGCGGCTGAATTTTTTGGCGCGTTGTAGGTTTGTAGGCTGTAGGTTAGATCAAGTTAGGTTAGGTTAGGTTGTTAGTTTTTGTTTGGTTTGGTTACAAAGAAGCATCTTCAGGTATAGTGCCTACCTTTGGTTGGAAAAAAGAAACACGCAGTCCATGGATGGCTCACGCCGCGCTACATTTATGAACAGGCATTAGTGACGCAGTTCTGAGTCCACGGGTCCGGCACTACCATCAAATTCGGTTGATACGTTCAGAGCATATTCCTGCAGGAATATTCACCGCGGACGGTAAATTTCCCGAAAATGGCCGTTCGGAGTCGTTCCCGGATGTAATAGGTGTTCTCTATGTGATGCCACAATGCGTGCGTGGTCCTCGGCATCAGTATTTCGGCTCGTGGGTCGTTCACATAAATCTGAGCGAATGAGGGTGGCTGGTCTCCGTTGGCTTCGAGTGGTTCAAGTCGGTGCCGCAGTCCGCACCACATGTACACGGCACGTACCCGCCGGTGCCAGCAGGCTGTGGCACCCGCCACGGCTCACGCGCAGACATCGACGACAGGGCCAGCGCCGAGTTCAGACTTCAGATGCCTGGAAAACTGACGGAAGGTACGCGCTTCCACACCGTCGCCAGCCCAAAGATGGCGCAGCACAGGTGGCGGGGCCGGCACGGGGTCAAGGAGGACCTCCCCCAACCCACCCACCCCACAGCAGAAGGCGGCACGTTCACCCAACCACCGTAAGGCCGCACGCGCTACGCCAGCCTGCAGCC